CATGTCACAAGATTACCCATATATGGTAATAGTGAATCATGTGACGAGATTACCCATATATGGTGATAGTGAATCATGCAAGATTACCCATATATGGTGATGGTAAATCAAGTGACAAGATTACCCATATATGTTGATAGTGAATCATGTGACAAGATTATACCCATATATGGTCTCTGTGAAACATGTAACAAGATTATCCATATATGGTGAATCATGTGACAAGATTACCCATATATGGTGATAGTTATGTTACAATATTACTCATATATGGTGATAGTCTATCATGTGACAAGATTACCCATATATGGTGATGGTGAATCATGTGACAAGATTACCTATATATGGTGATGGTGAATCATGTGACAAGATTACCCTATATATCTTGTTAGTGAATCATGTGACAAATTACCCATATATGGTGATAGTGAATCATGTCACAAGATTACCCATATATGGTAATAGTGAATCATGTGACGAGATTACCCATATATGGTGATAGTGAATCATGCAAGATTACCCATATATGGTGATGGTAAATCAAGTGACAAGATTACCCATATATGTTGATAGTGAATCATGTGACAAGATTATACCCATATATGGTCTCTGTGAAACATGTAACAAGATTATCCATATATGGTGAATCATGTGACAAGATTACCCATATATGGTGATAGTGAATCATGTGACAAGATTACCCATATATGATCATGGTGAATCATGTGACAAGATTACCCATATATGGTGATAGTTATGTTACAATATTACTCATATATGGTGATAGTCTATCATGTGACAAGATTATACATATATGGTGATAGTCGATCATGTGACAAGATTACCCATATATGTTGATAGCAAATCATGCGACAAGATTATACCCATATATGGTGTCTGTGAAACATGCGACAAGATTACCCATATATAGTGATGGTGAATCATGTGACAAGATTACCTATATATGGTCATGGTGAATCATGTGACAAGATTACCCATATAGTCATGGTGAATCACATGACGAGATTACCCATATATGGTGATAGTTATGTGACAATATTACTCGTATATGGTGATGATGAATCATGTGACAAGATTACCCATACAAGGTTATATTGAGGGTGACTTACCCGCCCAGATGACTTTACTCCTTTCATAAGACACAGAAACACGACAACCCATGAGAACAATAAACACAGTGCCAGTTTCCATTGTATGTTGCCCATATTGTCAATGCCGTCGCTGATATTGAGAACATAGTTACTGAAAACAGAGAAAAAAGTAATTGTACACAAGTTCAATTCAACCCCTCCCATCAAAAACAGGGATTTCCACACACAAAAATCTTGAAACCACAGAAAAACCTTTGAAACGTTTACCTCTTAAACAGAAATATACAGGTCTAAACAAGTCATATTAAACCACAATCCCTGTAATTACATGTAGTGCTCGTGACATCACTCAACACATGGCAAATTTTGTGTTCATGTATTTTACACACGTCATAAAAGTGGGTCGCATGGTGAAAAAATAAATTAACTGCATAACATATTACTTTAATAGAAATAAAAAAAAAAAATAATCAAAGAAAGCTTAGAAATAACTCCCGTGTGCTGAGTATTGAAGACACATTAAAAATTAATTAAAAATTACTTGTACACGAGATATTGATGGAAAAGCTGGAAACTAATTATGTAAATCAGGTAACTAATATGAACAGAACAAAAAAATTATGAATTATTATGCTAATTAGAGAATTAATATGAACACATTTCAACCCAAAATTAATCAGGCCTGTCTATTGTCTTAGAGCATTCATGTACCAAATTTTATTCAAATGTGATGATCAGTAATTGAGATATCAGTGTTAATTAATTATTTTAATTAGGTGATTAATGAGCATGAATATTTTCCGAAAACTAATTGGGTCTCTGCATAGTTCTCTTTAAAAGTTTCATTAAAATCCAATTCGTGGTTCTTTATATATCAGTGGAACATTATGCAAATTAGTAATTAATATCCAATTAAAACTAATCAGATCTCTGCATAGTCCTAGAAGATCTATGTAGCAAGTCTCATTGAAA